GAAAAATGGTCATAAATCCCTTTTTCAGTTCTGTTGTAGCTTTGAATGGTCACTAAATGAACTGTTGTAAATCAAGGACTACCTGTGCTTATTTGGCCCATGAAAAATTGATTGAAACACACTACTTGTTTTATTGCTTTATAGTTCTAATTTGGCACCACTGGAAGACTACTTTTCTCTCTGACTACTGTTCCCCACCACTCCTTCTAGTTAGTATTCGTGGCATCTTTGGATGCAGAAATGAACTGATTTTCTTGGTTTCCAGTTACGTTTGTGGATCTGGTTATTGTAAATTTTAACATTCTTTTTATATGAGATACTGGAACTGTTGGAAGTGTAAGCAGAATGATTAAAACAGCTCTTGCCCCTGCGTGTATCTGGTGTACCAGTCAGGGTTTATGGTCTTTTAACTCCCCCCCCCCCGCCCACCCCATGGTTATGCTTTAATCCCTTTTAAATGAATAAATGTTATCTGCTTTGGTATCTCATTAACTGGAGAAGAATTACATGCTCCATAATAATTAAGCACCAATCATATTGGTATGTCAGTGCCTTGATCACATGCCTTATAGACATTCACATATCTTCCTTTGGGCACACAATCTCATTCGGAAAAGATACAAGATGATGTATTTTCCCCTTTAAAGCTGGTTACTTTAAACCTGGTAGGTCTCTGAGGAGCAGGCTGAGTTATATTTTTAGTAGAAAATGAGACCAAGGAGCAAATGTAAATGAAATGAGTTCAGAAGGAGCTTCCCCTATTTCACATACGGCAGTTTTCTTATTTCTGCCACCCAGCCATTAATTGTTATTACGAGATGCCATAATTCCTTTTGCTCCTTGCATTGCACTCCTGGGTCACTGACCTATGGTCCATTTTCCCATTAGTACTAATAAGTATCATGAGATAGTTGTGGCAGGAGTCAAATGTAAGATGACTCTGCAACTTGATCAACCTGATAGCAATCAAGGGACTTTCTTTTACAAATGGTTTAGTTCATTTGCTAAGCAGACTATGAGATATTATATACAGTCAAAACAAAAACAAAAAACCCACCACCACCACAAGTCATGACACTAGTTACATTTGTTGGGGGTTAGGTAGTTATAATTCAGTGTCTTGGTTTTTTTGAGGTGGTTGATTTAATTATGGCTTGATATTGTGCTAAATTGATATTGAGAATACAGATTCTACAAGACTCACTGGTTGGATTAAGCTTTACAGTTTACAGTAGGGTAAACCATTAAATAAGCAATTGTATTTTAGAGCAGGGATCTCCAACCTTTGGACTGCAACCCAATACTGGTCCACAGCCTGTTAGGAGCTGGGCCATGCAAGCAGCAAGCAAGTGAAGCTTGATCTGCACATGTGCAGGATCTAGGTTGCGGCAAAAACCATCCCTCCCATGCCTGGCCTGTAGAAGACTCCCCCACTGAAACTGGTGCCAGAAAGGTTGGGGAATGCTATTTTAGACAATTGTATTGTATGCAGTCAGCCTTTATGTGTCCTTAATAAAACCACAAATTGAGTCAGGTAACTGTGGTTCTATTTATGTTGTTGAAACGTGTCAAGAAAATGCTTGCGTGGCTCAGTTCCTAACAAGCTGGTTTACTACAGTGTGTGAATTACATCAGTGGATGAACACGTAATATATATGAGGATATGCCAGCATCAATCCCTGTGTTCCTGTCCTAGAGTATTGGATAAAAATCCCAAGCCTGAAACCTCTCACAATACTGGCTATCAGAATACACTTCTTTGGCTGTGCTTGCTTAAACATAGCTTACTATTTATTAACCATGATGAAAGCAAATCATCCTGTGGCAAGTAATAACAGGCTTAAGGATGCCATCGCTATCCTTTGGAATCAGAAGTTTGTCATTGATGGTTACTGGTATTCCCTCCAATTTTGGTGGGACAAACATCAACAACAAACTGAATGGTGTCCATGGCAACATTGAAACCATAGGATGGAGGGAAAATAAATCTTTCTCTCTTCTTCCTCTTTCTAATCTGTACATGTTTGGAGGTCAAAAACTAAAAATGAAGCAAAAGAGATGTTATTCTGTCTTGCACTATCCTGCTTTTTCCAAGAGGAGTAAATACTAACCAACTAACCACCTAACTTTTAGTCCAGATTTAGGCAATATGCTGACACACATGTATTGATCTAAAGATATTTTCTGCCATTTTCAACTAAAATATCACCAACAGAGCTGCACAAAGGGCCATTTTACCCACCCTTCAAGATGGAATGTTTCTTTACTTGTGTTATTATTAGTTTGAGATAAGTTGAGCTGAAGGACACAGAAAGAAGGGAAATGGATATAATAGTTGAAGGTGAGCAGCTTGAATCTGCCTTTCAGAATGCCATTTGATGCCTTTAATGGCTGTGAAGTAGATATGAATTCAACAAGTACAGCCTTTCTTAACATGACAATGCAATAAAAAGGAGAAATTTATCTCCTGGGTTCTTGTCAGTTATACACCAGTCAAAAATTACTATGTTAGTTTCCATTTAGAAGGAGAATCACATTTTTAGATATAGTTCAAATACTATAGAACTCAATACCTCCCTTACACCACAATTTATCTGGTGCCTCCACTCGTGTGTGGAGTCAGAACAGTTGTCATTTTAAAATACACTTCTGTGTTTGGTTTTGCATTTCTAGTTTCAGTTGTAGTGGTAGTGGTAGTTATTTTTTTTCTGACACAATGAGAGCCTGTGTTGTGGCCTGTCAGCCACCAGCCCCTCCAGAAGCCAAATCAGATGAGGAGGAGGCATGGGAGTCAAGATCAGCATAATGTCTGTCAGCCCTCAGATGGAGAGTATAGGCCCCAGGTCTGGAGGTGGCTGATGAGGAAGAGGAGGAACAGGTGGGTCGAATGCCTGATGCACAGATGCGCAGAAGGCAGAGGAGAGGAGAGCAGTGGAAATCTGTGGGCTGATCCTTGGGATGGAAGAGCCACCGCTGCTAGTGAAGCCCCAGCCTAGTTCTGGGGATAAAAGGCAGGGGGCAGAGATGAATAGATGTTGCAGACAACTATTCATCTCCCTGCCGGACAAACCTGTTAGCCTGCTGTGAGAGAGAGGCTTTTTGCCAGGGCTGCTAGCGCTTCTAATAAAGGAATCATTGATTGATTACAGAGGGTTTGTCACATTTGGGAAGTTGGGTCAGAACAGCCTGGGCATTGTCCTACAGCATTGTCCATTTGTTCATAGTTAACATGATGTTTGAAGTGTGCGAAGAATTTTAGTTTTTTGATGCCAATGGGTATGGATTTGGGTAAGCCATAACTCAAAAAGTGAGGCAAGAAAGGACATCATCTTTAACTATTGAAGATGTTCTTCTGGGTGTGTAGTGTGCATTTGATGATCACTATCTCCATCTCTAACAGCATGATTTATTGCAAGGTTATAGGAATCGGGTGAAGATTTGTGGAACTAAATATGGTCCTTATTTCTCTCCCCAGCAACACTGAATTGTGACGCTGGGTCTGCATCTGAAATGAACATGGAAAGAGATGTTACTCTTTGCCTCAGGCAACAAACATTTTTTTTTTTTGGGGGGGGGGAATCCTACGAGTGCATTTGATTGTATTTCTCAGTCTTCTCTTCCACTGACAGTACTTTCTAATTTTCCATGGTTTTTTTTTCTCCTCACACTGCCAATTTCTAATCAGTTTACCATTTTATAGTCATATGAAAAAAAAATGATGAAAAAAGAATATTTGATGCATAAATCTTTTAATGTTTCTTTGGACTGCTGTGCGCTTCTTGCCTATCCATGTTCTGGTGACTATCGCTCCCTTCTGATTTTTCTTTTGTCCTTAGTTTCCTTCAATTGTCATCATTTTATGCATGAGATTTGTATTCTTTCTTTTTAACTTGGTGCTTGGCTGCTTTTTTAAAAACTGAATGTTCTATGGTTCTACTGTATATCAGCAGGGAGAAATATCCCCCTGTGATGCATGCAAGTGACAGAATTATGTTAGCACGAAAAAAGAGTAAAATAAATGTGGTGCTGAATTTTAGTTGTTTTGGTGTGTGCTTTCAAATTATAAAAAGATGTGGTATATACAAATAGTGTCTTTCATGGCCTTTGAGTTTTCTTGAAGCAATCAGAAGAAGAAAAACACAGAACACAGAATGCTTGAGGAAAACAGTAGCCATTTTCATTTGCAAAATGTGATTAATCTTGCACTGGTTAATGGTATTTTTGTCTCCTGACACTGAATGTTTTTAAGTCTTAATTCTTTTATTCTTATGAATCAGTTTGCAATGCCTTGACCTGCTAAGACGGTAATGAATTTTGTGAAAGAAACCCTTCCAATGTTTGGTTTTTGATCCCTATTTTGGTATCTCTCATTTTTAACGAGAATGTCAGCAGGTATTCTAAAGTTCAAAGGGATTTTTATGTTCAGAACTGCATTTAAATTATATACACTGGGATGGAAAAAAAAACACCATTGAAAATTGTTAATTACTGTGGCTGGATTTATGAAATTCAATTTGCATGTGTTAGACTGTTTGTTTTAAAACAAATTCCTTTTTAAAAACCTTTATCTTGCTTTTTCAATTTGGAATCTTTGTAATGCAGACCAAAAGCAAAATGGTTGTTCCCTGAAATGTATATGTTTCAGTGCTTATAAATAAATTTGTCAATTCAGCAGATGAAAACATTCCTTGGCTGTTATTTTGTATATAATGGGTCTTTTATTATTATTTTTTCCTATTAAAAATATTCATGTTCAGGTTTAATATAATATCTGGACCGCATATTTGCTTTTTATATAGAAGTTGATTGAAAAGCATCTCAATATACCCATTGAGAGATATTTCACTGGAAAACACATTTTCAAGATAATAAGATAATAATCTCTTTCCTGGAGAATTTTTCTTGAAACATCTTTGGAAGTTTAATATTGACTTTTTTTCTTTAGTCTTGTATATTCTTGAATTGTCTTTTTCCTCCATTTTCTCCATTCTCAATCCTAGGTCCCCTAACAAAGAAACAGACAGATGATTTAGGTGCTAACGAAGGTGCAGAAGATGAAGGTATATTTTTTCCCCCTGCCAAACTGATTTGCATGACAAGGACCCCCTTTGAAAAACTTTTTTCTCCCTTCTTTTTTTTCTTCTTGTCTTCTTTTGAAGATGTGTTTTTTTTTTAAATTCCCATTTTTGATGTGTTTTGTCTTCTTGCTTGTTGTTACATATTTTATTTTTTTAAAGAAAGAATGTCGTTAAGTTCTTTAAATAACAGTGTTTTGTTTTTTTTAAAGGAGGGTGTTTTATTTTTCTTTGCTTGGGACCAACTTTTGGTGTGTTGCATCCCAACTGAATTTTGTCCATGATAACTAACACACTCTGGAAACACACTCTGTAAACCTTCTTGCATGTTTTCTAACCTCTGTTTTGATCGATTTCACTCAATATCAAGGCGATGTGTTTTGTTTCTTTTTGTCACCCACTTATTTCCATTTTTATAGAAATGTGTTTGAAAGTGTGATAAATGCTGTTATAAAAATGTTTCCTAAGCAACCATATTGTTCCGATGATTCACATCTCAGTATCCTCAATGCAGTTTTACTGTTGTGGAAAAAGGGAGATTGCAGAATACTTTCTGCTAATTGGAGAATATACATGAAATCTTAGACATCTGTCTGTCTGTCTGTCTATGCATATATATATCTACCTATCTACTTACCTATCAGTGGGCTGCAACTGATTTAACAACCAGTTCTGTGAGTTCACACTTTGCATATGCACGCAGCATTCAATAAACACCAATTTGAACTTCTCAACTCACCTTCTAGTCTTCCCCGGTAAGTAGAACAGCTGAGGCGCGGTAATCCACTTTGTCACACAAATCAGCTGAGCTGCAAAAGAAGGAAATATAAGACAGGATACAGCGGGGGCTAGTGGATGAGGCCAGCTGATTGTCGTTTGTACCAGTTCACTAGAACCAGTCCAAACCGGAAGCAGCCCACCACTGCATCTATCTATCTATCTATCTATCTATCTATCTATCTATCTATCTATCTATCTATCTATCTATCATCTATCTGTCTGTCTGTCTGTCTATCTATCTATCTATCTATCTATCTATC